CAGCATGAGCGCCAGTGTGAACGCATCGCGGCATGCCGCAGCCCTGCGACGCATCATAAAGGATCTTCAGGAGCTGGAGGCGGAGCCTCTGCAGCTGGTCTCGGCCAAGCCTTTGGATCTCGACGATCCTTTTTGTTGGCACGTGAACCTTAGGCCTGCAGACGGCCCACTGATGGGTTGCATCTTCCACATGGTGATGGACTTGCCAAGAGACTATCCCTTCAGCCCCCCCAGCATCCAATTTCCGGCCTGGCACATTCCCTCGTTTCGGCATCCGAATCTCTATGGGACCATGATTTGCCTTGACATTCTGCAGAGTTTCATTGGGGCGCACGATGAGCGAAGCGGCTGGAGCACAGCCTACACCGTTCAGACTGTGCTGCTGCAGCTGGCGTCGTTCCTCTTCGAGACAGAACACGTGCCACAGGACCATGGTGGGACCTACAAGTCCAGCATGACACCGACACTGGCTGCACAGGTGCACGCTGAGTGTGAGAGATTTCATTGTGTGGAATGTGGCCACAGTTTCTCTACACCACACCCGGTGCTTGCAGATGTGACACCAGAGGTCATGGAGCCTAGCACCAACACGCCCAGCCAAGACATCACAGTCAGGGAGGCTAGAGCAACCGGTGAGGCTAGGCCGCTGACCCCGCAGGTCGGGGACGTGCTTCGAGGCCTGGTGGTCAAAGAAAACGCCAAGGGCTTCGAGCTGCGCCTGCCAACTGGCTTCGGTTGGCTGGTCCGGGACCGTCGGTGTTCGGTGGCGCGGGAAGTGACAGCCTGCGTGACCTCTGTGGCTGAGTGGGTTTGCTTAGAGATTCTGCCGAAGCGGACCTGCCAGCAACTGGAAGCGCTGCAGGAATCTGGAGCAGAAATTCCTGGGCTCGTCGTCTCCGTCCAGAGCTATGGTGTTTTTGTAAATATCGGTGGCCCGGCTCCAGGTCTTGTCCATGTGTCAGAGATGGATGTTGAGAGGGCCTTTCAGGCCAAACAACTCGTGCAGGTGCGAGTCTTGGAGGTGAACTCCCCGAAAGGCCTGCGGCTCACGATGAGAGGGGGCCCCTTCCTCTGGCAAACCCGCGGTGGCCGCCCGCTGCCGCTACTACAGCCTCACTTGGATGGCAGGGACCTTCCCGGCCCTGCGCTGCAGGTCCTGTTGCAACTCTTGCCGTGGGAAGCCTTGAGGTCTATGGCTCGCAGCTGCAGGGCTTGGAGGGGACCTGCCGAAGAAGCGATCTCCATCCGTTTCGATCGATCTCAGCTGCGCTGCTTCCACACCAAAACATCGTTTGATGATGCAGGTGCAGTGCTTGGCCTGGGGGTAGTTATTTTGGAGGAGAGTGGCGGCAAGCGCCATTTGACGTGTGACTTTGACCCCTTGTCCGCGGAAGCATTCTTTGATCTGCATGTGGACAAAGGAGTGTGGAAGCAAAGAATTAGCTACTGGATTCCCATGGCCATTTGCAAGGCTCACTTTCAGCGTGCTTTGGCACGGCTCCTAGAGGCCATCTCCCAGCTTGGCTCTGGGAAAGTGGCCGAGATGACAAAGTCCCACGGCTTGGGTTCTGCTGGCCGTCAGGGCCCTCGTGAGGCGGCCGGTGTGCAGCAGGGTTTTGCCATATGCTTCGACGAGTGGCAGGCGCAAAGGCAAGCGCTCTTTGAAGCGCAGAGGCGACGCCGGGAAGAGCGACTGAGGCTATTGGAGATGGAGAAGGCAAAAGCAGCGCAACAAGGTTTGAGCGTGGAGGAGTGGCGAAGGCGAGGAGCCGAAGCCAAAGCCAAGGCTGCTGAAGCCAAAGCCAAGGCTGCTGCCAAGGCTCTCGCCGAATTCAGCCAACCTTTGCCGTTGGATCAGGCTGCGGCCATGGATGTGCTGCCTAAGCTGATGAACTCGCAGATCGTGCTGTTGATGAAGGGCGATGTGCACACTTCTCAGAAAGCAATTGCAGGCTATATGGCCTTTCACCACATATTGCTTATGCTCAAGGCCCGCTGTTCCAGCTTCAGCGATGCCATTGAGCAGAAGTTGCACAAATTTGTCAGTGACGAGCAGATGAGACACAAGAACGTAGTACCAAACCTGGGCGAGTTCATGTGTTTGCTTTCTGTTTCGGACGAGTTCACCTGGAACAAGCTCGCCATACCAATCCTGGAAGAGACTTTCGACCGAGGGGTTCTTTGGCTGGTGAAGGCATGCCCATGCATGGCTCACCTTTCGTCGCCAGTGGACGACAGGATGGAGAAGACTTGGGAAACGAGCCAAGTCTCTCGTCAGCTGTTGATGTTTCATTGCTGGTTTCTCCATCACGTGGCTCACATAGCGCACCAACATCACGAGCATGAAGACGACGTTTGTCGACGAGCCAGTTGCTTGCTTGAACGCTATGAACGCACCAAAGGCTTGCCACTGCAATCCAGCGTGAGCTCCCTGCAGAAGGCATGCCGACATTTCAGTACAATCAAGACGTGGCAGCACTTCTTTCAGTCCATTTACGTAGAGCCAATGGACGATCAGTCTGTTGGTGCATGGCTGCTCCGTTCTACTCGAAGGTCCCAAGCAAAAGGCTATCACCGAGGGCCTCGTTTTGCCAGGACTCAAAGCTGAGCAGGGCGATTGGAGACGCCTTTGTGAATATGTGCAGGCGAGTTTTATCTGACATCTAGTGGCCCATGGCATTTTTGCGTCAGAAGGTCTTGCAAGTTTGTGACCTTCGAACAAGGCGCTTGTGCAGTGTACAGCTGCGGATGGGCTTGTACAGAGTGATCAAGGGCCTTGAGAATGTGGATCGGCCCGAGAGAATGTGGACAGAAAAAGCAAACATTTGTGTGGACACGGACTGCAGGCTTGTGAAACATATGAATGGAGCCCGCGGAGTGGAATATGTGCATGACATTTCTGCACTACAAGGGTGGTGGTGGGCCGTGGGCCATTTTGGCTCAAGGGCCCACCACCACCATACCTTGCTTTTTCTCCTTTTTTCCTGCTTGATGGTGGTTTGGGCGCTCCTCGCGTTCGTCCTGGTTCATGGCGGCCTTCCCTATGGAGGCCGAGGCGATGCGGATTCGCACGATGACGGACCTGAGGCTTCACTATCAGGTGGACCTCGCGGTCTGGCAGGCAGTGACGGCCGCGATGGGCGATCCGGGCGAGGACATTCGGCCCTTTGCGGCATTGCCGGCTGCGATGGTGGCCTTGGCCTGCGAGTCCGCGGACAATGGTGGTCAGGCTTTGACAGCCATACAGGCCTCACAGGTGGGGTTGATGTTCCGGCTGGCGAGGAGAATCTACCACGTGAAGAACGGTGGATCCTGGGATCAGTGGGAAGATCCACACCCTTGGGAAGCGCCAGTCAAGACCAGCGATGGCGGGGACGCGGGCACGGTAGTTCAGAAGAGCCTGGAGCCCAAGATGAAGATGACGCGCATCCTGGATCAGGGCGACGAGACGGAGTTCGTAGTGGAGCCAGAGGAAAAGAGGGCGCTGTGGGTGGCGAACTATGTCAAGGTAGTAGGTGGTCTCCCCCCCGAAGAAGAGGAACCCTCGATGGAACAGCTCTCAGCTATTGCTATGAGTCGCAGGACCGAGGTGTTGAAAGCAGCTCCCTATATGCGGACTTCGCGGTGTGGGTCCCCTACGGCAAGAAGGCACTTCGTACCAGCAGGTTCAGAGTCTACATCCCGACGTTGGAGGGCTTCATGACACGAGAAGTTGCAGGGCCCACAACTTTCGAGATGTGGCAGGCGAGTTACCGAGTTTACCGGACCGCCTTGATCATGCTGGAGACGGTTCCCCTGGCCCACCTCAACGCCTACGAAACGCACATCGAGAAGCTGGTGAGGAACTTCCCCGGCTGTTGGCATCTCATTTGCCAAGCAGACGACCGAGGCAGGTCGGAGCACCTCACGAGGTTGAAGCTGAGGGCGACCATGGCTGGAGGGGTTGGCTCAGATGTTCCAGCGGGGTTCAACACAGACAAGCCGTGGGCGACGCTGTTGAGAGCACTAGTGGACGACGACAAGTACTGGAACGAGCAGGTCATCCTCCCGGGCACCGCCTGGATGGCCCAAGGCAGCCGAGGAGTACCAGACACCCCGGAGGAGAAAATCTCTCGGCAGGTCACGAAGGAAGTGCGAGGTCGAGAGCTTGCAGGGAGCGAAGGTTCAGACAAGCCCAGCCGTTCTTCCCAGCGAAGAGAGGCCCGGAAGAGGAAGAGGCAATCTTGGGCCGAGGACGTTGGGAAGAATGCGAACGGGAATCACAACTCAGGAAAGGGAAAGGGAGGAAAAGGTTCGGGAAAGAGTTCGGGCTCCCCAAGGTGTTTTGCTTGGAACAATGGCAATGGACCCTGCGCAGAGGTCCCACCTGGGGGAGCGTGCTTGGCCCCAGTGAAGAGAGAACACAAGTGTACCACTTGCGGTTCCCCGGGCCATCCCTCAAAGAACTGTCCCAACAAGAAGAGCTGAAGGCTCGAGCGTGGGGCGCCTGGGCCTTGCTGAAGATGGTAGGTTTGCTCTACTCCTCCAAGGTCACCCCGGAGAACATGGATGCGGGCGAGGCTGGAGGTTCGAGCTCATCGAAACGATCAGCCACCGAGCACCCAGCGGGGGATGGGGCAGGCTCCACGAAGTCAAGAAGGGTGGTGCTCAAGCCAGCAAACCGAATCTTGTCCGAGGATGACGAGAGCACGAAGGTGAAGAGAGAACACCTCAAACAAAGAGTTTTTGTGTTCATGCACCACTTTTCGGGGCCCAAGGATGTGCTAGGTCGCACGGTTAAGGAAGAGGCCCAGGGGTGGGGCATCAATGTTGAGGTCATGGGCGTAGATTCGGACGTGTCAGAGAACCTCCTAGGTCAGGGCATCCCGGGAGACCTGACCAAGGACAGGCCTTTCGCCGACCATCTGGACTTGGCGAAGGGAGGTCTGGTAGATCTCTATCATGCGGGATTGCCTTGCTCCACCTTCTCCCGTCTAAGGTTCCGTCAGGCCCCAGGACTACCCCCGCCAGTTCGCACTAAGGACCATCCTTACGGAAAGCTAACAACTCCTCAGCGCAACAGGCGGAGTGCGACAAGGGCACGGTGCTAGCGTCCAGGTCGGTGATGATGGCCAGAGCAGTGGAGGACAGCAGGCCGGGTGACAAGGTGAGACCGGCAGCGACGCTGGACAACCCCCCGCCATCTGATGTAGATCAGCATTTGTCAACTTGGGAGTTACCTGAAGTGGCGAGTTGGGCAGGGGAGAGGAACAAGACCACAGCTTTGTTCAACACTTGCATCTATGAGCAGGGCACCCCTATGGGCCAGCAACATTTCAAACCGCAGAGGTTCACAGGGTCGCTCCCAGGAACCATCGCACTGGCAGGAACATGCAAATGTGGGAATGCCAGGCACGTGCCCGTCGTAGGGAAGGACAAGTCTAAGGCATCGGCGGAGTACCCGTACGACCTGTGCAGGATGTACGCCGAGCTGGCCATAAGACACTTCAAGAGGATGGCCTTGGCGGAAGTGCTCAGTGCGCGCTTGGAAGTAGCTCAGTCTGAGGTGGAAGAGCTCCGAGCCAAGGCAAAGGAGATAGAGAAGACGACCAAGGAGATCGTGGGCCTGACCCACATGCCTGAGGATTCAGAACGGCATCCCGACGCGGAAGGCGAAGCTGGAGGATCAGGGGACCACATCTGGAAGGAGGGCACGGGCAAGTACGGGATGTTGAAACAGCCGGCCAAGAACTTCAAGCCAGAGAGGTTGGATTTCTTGGGGGGCATGAGGGACCCGGCCAGAGCGGTGGAGAAACTTCCTTCGCTGGTTTCACTCGGCCTAAGGATCATGGGCGCGTGGGAAAGCTTCGTGAAGGACAACCCCCGGGCTTTGGAGGTGGCGGAGTCGTACGGCACGAAGGATTGCATTCTCGATGAGAAGCTCGCTGGCATGTGGAAGGCCAGACTCAACCAGCTTGTGGGGACGAGGCCAGAGGCAGCTGTGAAGCTGAAGAGCAAGGGCGCCTACGTTTCGGAAGCCAATGCGGCGCTGCTGGAAGCTTGGGGCAGGAGGCGGGGGCCCGGAAACCGAGGTTCCGACTTGGATCAGGGAAGGCGCCCCCCTGGGTATCGACAAGCCGATAAGGACATGTATGGTCTTCCCGGCCATGGACCCAGAGAGCCCAGAACCGGGTCTGCCGGATGCCCTAGCACAGCTCACCAAGGGGGACATGCTCAACTACGAGTCCGTGGAATCGAAAAAGGCTGAGGCGGACATCGCCAAAGAATCCCTCGGTCCAAGGTCATCGAGATGTATTCAGGTGGCACCATCTCGCGGCTTGCGCTGATCGTGAAAGTGAAGGAAAATCTGGAGGTCAAAGTACTACCCCGACCTTGCGATGCGGTAGAGATGCTCAAGGATCAGCGGCGGCTGCAACCGACTCACCCGGAAGACGACACCGTGGCGAGGGAACTGGTGTTGATCGACGTGTCGGACGCCTTCATGACCCTTCCGGTTCACCCGGATGAGTGGAAACACTGCCTGGCCCCGGACACTAAGGAGGATTCCTTCCTTCTGTTTCAAGCGCTGCTGTTCGGGTTCAGGACCGCGCCGTTGTTATGGAGCAGTGGCGCAGCAATGGTGGCACGGCTGCTGCAAAGCGCCATACACCAAGCGGAAGGTAGTCACCAGGTGTACCTCGACGACAGCCTCTGGAGCTTCTACGGCACGCTCGCGAGGAGGAACCTTCTGCTGGCCTTCGTGCTCGCGACGATGGCAGCACTGGGGCTGAAGGTCGCATTCAACAAGGGCGAGAGGTCGAATGCGGTGACGTGGGTAGGGATAAGATTTGCCCTGGTGGATGCGGACACCTTGGTGGTTACCCTCCCACAGAAGTTCATGGAGGAGCTGTTGGGTTTGCTGGAAGAGTTGAAGGGCAGAGGGATGGCCCCAGTCAGAGCGCTCAGGGTGATCGCCGGAAAGACTTCGTGGCTGGCGGGGGTCCTGCCGCGAGCCAAGTGGACGGTGGCCATCTTCTACGCGGTGATCTACTCCGCGGACGATGACTCCTCCTCCGGCAAGGAGGAGTTACGAAGGCAAGCTCGCGCGGACAGCCGAAAGAAGGAGGGGTTGTTCGCAGTGAAGCGAGTGGAGCAGGCGAGACTCTGGCTGGGGGAGGTCATCAAGGTGGCGATGGAGCAGCCAATCAGGTTCATCAAGATCGGGGGTTCCCCAATGGCCGTGGTGACCATCACGACCGACGCGTCCCCCGGCGCCACACTGGTGGTCAATGGGAAGCTGCTGGGGGCCTTGGCGAGCCCGGTGGAACCCAAGGATGCAGAGTTGCTGGGCTTCGAATTGGGGACGTCAGCATCACAGGGCACCCTGCAGAGCCTCGCGATTCTGGTGGCCATTCGCACCTGGGAAGGGAAGTTGAAAGGTGCGGGAGTGGAGCTCGTGGTGCAGTCAGATAGCACTACGGCACTCAGCCTCACTCAGAGGTTGGCGCACGGATCGGCCGCTCTCAACTTCTTGGGTGCGGAGCTGGCTGTGGAATTGGAAAGGCTGGGGCTAGAGAAGGTGAAGCCCCGGCACATTCCAGGGCTGGCAAACAACGTGGCGGACTTCCTCTCGAGGCCCAGCAAGTGGGCCACGGAGAAGCTGCCGGAGGAATTGGAAGGCATCAACATCAGGCCGGTGGCTGGCAGGGACGTGACCTTTTTCCCCCTGCCGCCACCTGGCCTGCGGCAGGACCTGTGGGGCAGCGTGCCTAAGGAAAGCGCCGCTGTGGAACAGGTGGCTGTCGGGCCTAGGGTGCCAGGGACCGCCTCACCGTTTTGCCTGGACACCCTGCCGTGAGCACATCTAGGGGTCAGCCGCGGCGGGGCACCGGGGCACAGACCCTGACCGCAAGCTGTCTTGCAAAAGGGGTCGGGTCTGTGGAGATTTAAGGAAGGAAAGGGAAGGACCAGGTAGGTAAGGAAGGCAGGGAGAGGGGACCCTAGGGCAATTCGAGGTGAAGGAGGGTCCCCCCCCCCCCCCGTTTTCAAAGGGGTTTTTGGCCCGTTTCGCCATGCCGCTGAGTTGCATCATGCTCGAATCAACCGATTCCCGCGTGCCGGCCAGCAGCGGGGCTCGATGACGGGGTCAGAAGCCGAGGTTTGGGCCCATGAGCCCGTAGATGCCCAGCCATGGATCGATGGGGAGCTGGTCATTCTCTTGCTGCTTGCCGGCATCGGGTTGCTTCGGGTCGTCCAGATGGTCTGGAAGACGGGCGAGGCATGCAGACGCTACTGCGCCGCCCAAAGCAGCGAGCTCGCAGTGAAGCACCGGATCACGGTCGAAGGCTCCATGGCGGGGAACTACGGGATGGGAGACAACCCCTCGCGGCTTCGCCAAGCGCCGACTTGGGGGGCGAGGGGAGACGCTCAAAGAAAAGCAAATGCCAAAGCCATCCTGAAGGAGGAAGAGAAGTTCTCCCCGAACCTGGGACGGCTAATTCGGAGGCCGAGACGGATCAGGTAAAAGGAGGAGGAGCACATCATGAACTTCGGGCACCTCCCCAGCAGGCACTGAGCAACCTCCTCGTGGCGAAGGTTTGGGGGGGGCAGGCAGTAAGGATAACTGGAGTTTGAGCCCACAGGGGGAAGAAGGGCGCCGGGGCAGTCAAGGGATCCTCGGCGTACATCCCCTCCTGGCGGTCAGGAAGATGATGGAGGAAAGGACAGGCTTCACGGGACTGCCAGCCAGCGTTTGGGTGAGGCCAGCTCTCAGCTGGATCGCAGGCAAGCTGAGCCCGAAGAAGTCTTCGGAGGAGCCGGGCAACAAGAACCATGAGTTCCCGCCTTTGCCACCTAGAGAATACCAAAGGAGCGCTAGGAAGGACTGCCCGGTCAGGAAGAGTGGCCTCAAGACCGACAGAGAAGCGGCGCTGAAGCCCATCAGCCTTGGAAAAGGAAGATGGCCATCAGAGAGCTGGAGAAGGACTTCTGCGCCAACTCTTCTAGAAAGGCAAAGGCAGCAAGGAGGAACACCGTCCGGCGCATAGCAGAATCAGCGGGCTTCGCGGTCACACCTCTGGATGCTGACAAGGTGAAGTGTTTAGCGGCAAGCTTGAAGTCAGCCGGCTACAAGTCTGCCCACGTTTACCTCGCAGAAGCCAAGCTCATGCATGTCGAGGCAGGGAAGGCGTGGAGTGATTTGCTAGCTAGGGTCATGAGGCAGTGCCTTATGGCGGTGTCGAGAGGCGTGGGCCCCAGAGCAAAGGCGCCCGAGGTGCCAAGGGACACCATCCAGGGGGCACAACTCGCCAAGAGGTGGCAAGCACAGCGGCGCCTGACGGACCCGATCGAGATCTTCATTTTGGGAATGACTTGGATGTTGAGGGAAGTGGAGATCGCCGCACTCAAGAAGGGCGACTTGCTGGTCAATGACACGGCAAAGAGGGTCACGCTGGTGCTGCGCGAGAGCAAGAAGGATCAAGAGGCCAGAGGAGTTAGGCGGGTCCTGCAGTGTCTTTGCCAGGGGGATTGTGGCTGGGACTGCCCTTACAGGAACGCCAAGAAACTGGTGCACTCGCCAGGAGGTCATGGAACTTGATGACGCCCTTTGCGACGTAGCAACAAAGGCGCAGGTAGTTGCTTCTTGGGCCAAGGTCTTCGGCATGAGGGTTGGTGGCCATTCTGCGCGACGCACGGGAGCGCTGGCCTACATCAGACAGGGTTGGGCGATCCCACAAGTCGCGTACTTAGGCCGCTGGAAATCAAACGTTATCTACAGCTACGCTGAAGAAGCCTTGGAAACCATGCCGGTCAATGATAAGTGCGGCCCGGTTCGACATGGTAGCGAAGGCCCGGGTTGGGATGCAGTAAGGAATCAGTTAGCCCTCGAGGTAGAGGCCCTGAAGCTGGACACGGACGCCATGCGAGACAAGCTTGACACCGAGGTAAGGACATGGAAGGAGAAGGTAGAAGCCGGCAACGGCGAGCTGCCATCCTTGGTGAAGAACGTGCATGGCTCCGTGATCCACATCAACGCCAGCATGGTGGCTTGTTCCCCTCCGGCCACGTGGAGGACCAGATGTGGCTGGTATTATGGCTATGCATCGTTCATCTTCATGCAGGGGAGCAAGCACCAGGTGTCATGCTTGAAGTGTAAGAGCGGGTAAGCCGCGCCATAGCAAGGATGTGGAGAAGGGCGGCAAAGTTGTTTCTTGAGGCCCCTCCCCCCACACTTCGAAAGACTGAAGATGTGTGGGGGAGGGAGCCTGATCAATGCACAGGATCCACCAACACCGCAAAAGGTGCGTGTTCTTGGGAGGGAGGGTGGGTCTGTGCCATGTCCCATGAATTTATGGGTTGCAAGATCCTTGGCCCGCACGGCCCGCACGGCCCGCATGGCCGGCATGGCCTGCTTCCAGTTGACCCCTGCCAGGTATAGGTGTGCTTGGTGTCACTGTTGTGGCAACATTGAGCGGTTTTGGAGTGAAGCCCTAAGACCGAACTGCAAGCGTAACTATGCTATATAGTGAGAAGCAGTTCATCAGCCTGCTATGCATTCAACATGATTGAAACTTGACAGCTGGCAGCATGCTGAGGCTGTTAATTTCCCGTTTCAAAGTATGCACTCGTTCCTTCGACCTGTGACGCAGCAGCAGGCAGGCATCGTGCATGAACTTGCAACAGGCTGGTACCTTGATTGAAGGTTGCTGATGTGGAGCAGCGCTTGCTGCGGCCAGAAGCTTAAGATGAAGTTACTTAAAAGTCAAGCGTCTTTTGATGTCGACGTCTGCGTTTTCCTCTGGCTCTGGGAGAGGGCAACCTTGCAACCCGCTGGAAACGTTCAGGACAATGCGACTCGTCGCCTCCAGAAAGCGGCAAGAGCTGCTTTTGAAGCAGGACTGTCTATCACCTCGCGGCCGACCCTTCCAATTGTGAGATTTGTCAAGAGGGCAGAGCAGAAGGGACAGATGTTCGTCCTGTTTTCGAAAGGAGGATTTACCGCACTTGGTAGGAGGAGACTCGTCTTGCTGCGAAGAGGGAAGAGCCGCTGTCGCTCGTTGGGCGAGCATCAGTCTTAGCGTTGACTTTGCGTGTGCGAGCTGGAATCTCCTCGCGAGCTCCCAATACGCATCATAATCTGCCAGGGTCGAAAGACCAGATGTCTTGGGGCTCTCAGGATGATCAGCAGCGTTTTTTGTTTTTGTTTGGGCAGCCATCGTAAGGGCGTGAAGGGAACGTGGCCATGCTCCGTACAAGGATGTTCATGTAGACTTAGAGGCCTTGTTTGCGGCAAATGCTGCCGTATGTGCTGTACTTCTGATGCTGGAGTCATGGCAACGTTTGCTACTTTTTACGTTCGGGCTTCATGCATTTGTGAATGTCGAACATGAAAGAACACAGCTTTGGACCTTGCTCCGCCACTGAATGCATGCTCACACGTACAGACTGGGCAACTCGTATTCATTGCAGTACAGACAGGGCTGCTGTGTCTTCCAAGCACAAGACAATTGAGCGACCCTAGTCTGCACGGACAAATGATGTTTCGGAAACCATGCCGCCATCCAATCTTTGGATTCAGTCTCTCAGGATGCAGTTGCCCAAGTCGCCCGCAAGTTTTGACGCCCTGCACCACAGGTTGCTCAGTTTGTCCAACGACCGTTTTCGTTGGAGGCGCGCAGATCGAAGCCTTCCATTGTTTCCAAATCAAGGATAACGTGATAGAGACTGAGCAAAGCATTTGCCAATTCTGCTGTCTCCCCTGTAGGATCTTTCAAGCCCACAAATAGTGGGTCTAACAGAGTCTAACACTGCCAGTAGTGTCCAAAACTTTCCCTTGAGATGCAGAGCTGCAGGCTCTGGGACTGTCCGGAGGTGGGAGTATTGAGTATTGACCAGCGGCTTTTGGGCTTGCGAGAGGTTCACCGTCGGCGACGCGAAGGCAATTGAGCACAGAGATACAGGCGCCCACGGAGACTCCCAGACCTCGACTCGAGTCGCGAGGGACTCAAGTCGCGAGGCTTTGGAAGCCTTCAGCCGCGAGCTCTTCCTGGAGCTAGATGAACTCATACAGGACGGCTGAAAAAGCACCAGATTTGCTGGTCAAGGGAGTTCACTCGATTTGTTCAGATTTTTGCGTTATGGGTCTGTCTTGCTTCTTGCGTGTTGGGTTTTAAAGGGAAACCAAGAGGACAGCTACAAATTCTGGGGAGTCCCCTAACACCAAGACAGACACATTTAAAATTTCGGGCATGGGTCAAAATTCAACAACTAGGGCACCGCAGGTTCTAGTCCTCGGTTTCATTTCCCAGGCTCCAGGTTCCGTATTTTTGGACCCGCGGCTCTCTTCCGATGTCTCAGGTTCGGTGGCACGTTTTTGCCTGGCTTCCCAGGCGCGGCTCTGCGAGCTGAAGGCTCGCACGTGGCTGGGCAAGGCCGGCCCGAAGCTGCCGGTTTTTTTTTGTGGGGGGGGGGGGGGTATGTCGCTTTTTTTTTGGGGGAGCCCACAAAATGGGTGGTTTTCCTTATTAGACTCATCGAAAAGGGGTTGCCATCAAAGAAAGAGACGCCGTTTTGTACAAGGTGATGAACGTCCTGGGCCGGTGCTGCTCCGCAATATGCAGCTCGGATTTTATGTGGCATGACACAATGCCCATGATTTGGGAAAGCACATGCAACAACTCGGAGGCATTTACAAGATCGTGATGCTGGCGCCCAAGATTGAGAGGCACAGCTTTCATTTGCCAGAATTTGCCATGGCCAGATTTCAATCACCAAGGTCTTCCGTCAACCTGCTCCTAAGGCAGCGTTGTGCTGTCATGCCCTTTCCAACACAAAGTGTGCCGCTTGACCTTGGGGAAGACGCGGATTCCCGTGCCCAGAAAAGCTATTTGTAGATCCTCCACTCTTCAACAGTCTCACATTCGGATTGAACTTTGAAGGACCGCTAAGCGTGATAGCTTCAATTGCGGTGATGAGTAGAGTTGGAACTGCCAGGAGAGGCAGTGCCCAAGCAGAGGATCCAGCAACAAGGCCTTTGCTCTTTCGTGTCTGCCTGCAGGATACATTGAGCTGCAAGCATATGACGCTTCCGTATCTCCAATGCCAACAGTTGACATGTTCAACCCAGCTGGAAGGCTGCTTACCATCCTCCTCTTGAATTTGCGTGCCAGGGGCTAAGCATTTTTTCAAGAGTATTCCATTCGCACTCCCTTGGATAGCCGTAGCTTGAGGTGCCAGTGGATGTCTCGTACTGGGCCCCGATGCTGTCGTTGATTTTCGCCGCCCTTTGCATGATTGAATCCATGAGCGCCCATCACTAGCGGAGAAGGGATGAGTGCAGTTGACATAGAGTCTCACTTGAGCCACTTGCTCAAAACCCGGGTAAGTGAGCAAAGCACAATCCTTCAACCACAAATGGGTGAGGACATCCGCTCTTGTAATTCTTTGCATGGTCCTGGATAGATTATGACTCGCATTGGATAGGATATCAAGGCCTACCTCGTGAGAATGAGGCGTTGAATGCTCCGCCCAGTTTGCATCCTGGCTTCAGTTCTTCATAGTTGCCGCACGACAGCAGCTGCAGCGAGTTGCTGTTTGCCATGCAGCACGATATCTTCGGTGAGATTTGATACACTGGCCATCAAATGACCGTAGTTGTGGATTGCGGTGCTCACACTTTCAAAGCCAGCACCACCGGGGCAGAGAAGCCAGAACTCGTCAAGGCTTTGCCCGACTTCAGGGCAAGTTTGACAAACGCTGGATTCTGGGAATCGCTGGGAGCCAGTGGCAATGGCCATTTCGTGGTGGCATTGCCGTGGTCTACACCGCGAAGTGTTCGAGAGGAATTGTGTGAGTTTCTCTTCGAGAAGCTCTCCGCGAGCTTCGTGAGCCTTTCCAGTTCCACTTTCTTGGCAGCCCTCGGCGCAGGATTGTCCACGACACTTGTGGTTGATATCGGCGAGGGCGGAGCGCGTGTGGTGCCCGTTGAAGATGGCTACCCCTTGCCACACTGCGGCGTGAGTGGTCGGATTGGCGGCGCTACCCTTAGTTTGGCTATGCTGCGATGGCTGAAGACGTCAGTTTCTTTGCCGCCGAGCTTGACCTCGGCAAGCACTGGTGAACATGTGAAAGAGACAGTGGCTTGGGTAGGTCAGAAGAAGGATCAAGAAAATCTGCTGGTGTCAGCACAGCCAAAAGGCTGCACACTGGTGGGTCCATGTGGAGGGGAATATCCAATCTCATGTGGCGACGGCTTCAAATGTGGGGAACTGCTCTTCGACGTCCGCGGAAGCTTTGCTGAGGAGACGGGCGCAAATCTCTCCTGTGACACACTTCCGGAGTTGATCCTCGCTAGCTTGCGCCTCCAAAGCAACATCAACTTGCGAGGAGGGGGTCAGAATTGCCCGCTTGAACCCTTGTGAAGGCCTTTTGATTGTTCGGTGGGTATTTGCCGCAAGGAAAGCTCCTGGAAAACATTTTGGTGGCAGGGGGCACTGCACAGCTGCCTGGCTTACAAGAGCGCCTGGTGGCTGAAATCCGGTGCCTCGGCAAGTCAAAAACATGGAACGAACTGAATTCAGAGCAGCCGTCTAAAATCAAATTGCCGAGGATCAATCTTTGTTTGGCTTTGCTCACTCTAGGCCACCCCCTTCGTAGAAATATTCTTCCCAATGATTCTGAGAGCAGATGCTTGAGCCAAAGCTGCATGGATCCACAGGGATGTTTTGCGGGTTTCCGGGGATCGCGAGCGCGCGCGGCGCGCTCGCGCGCGTTGCGCGCGCGTTTTTTTTCTTCTTCTGTTTCTTTTTTCTTTGTCGCCTTTCGAGGTGCCGGAGTCCATGGGTGGCTCCAGGCCAGAGCTCTGACATGATCAAGGCGGGACACTCACAGCTGAGATTGCGGAATCGGATGGGAAAAGGCCAGGATGGAATGGGAGGGGAATGGAATGGGATGGGATGGGATTGGAGTGGGCGAATTTCCAGCCGCAAAGTTGAGTGACAAGATCTCTGAGCTTCGCAGGTGTGTGAGGTCAAGCAGCCAGATCTGTTGGCGCAGAGCTTGGTAGCTGGTTTTGTTCTGAAAGCCAGAAACCCCTCCCCGCGTCCGCATAAAAGCAAACCAACCCAAACAGCGCCTTGAGTTTGAGACACGTGCGGAAGGCGGTGTTGTATCGTGAGGCTTGGAGAGGCGGCTCACTCCTGACAGAGCTGGGCCCCCAGTTTTAGGCCCGTTTGATTCGCCTTTTCGTAGCTGTGGCGTGTGCGCAAAGGTGTGATGTTCTGAAAGACCTGAGCATCTCCAGAGCCATGTACCAAAGCCGGTGCCACAGCTTGAGGTGTTTGATGCACTGAGAGCGAGAGGAATACGAGGGATAGGACAGTGGTTTCCCATGAGGCATTGGGCCAGCTGCTGACCGGAGCTTAGTGGTTGGGCCGAGTTGTTGATCAAAGCGCAAGTTGCTGTCGTCACGGAAGCCCAAGGTTCACGAAGTCTTCATGTGAGCTGCGCCACATCCTCTGCACTGCGCCACCACGGCGTCGGAAGAGGGAGAACGTGCAAGCTGAGGGAGGTCACCGAGCCGCTCACATCCCGGCATCTTTGCATCTATCATGCGCTTGGGCCTACCCTTTGAGCTGCGATGTGTGGACCTTCTCCAAGTCAGCTCGGAGCAGATCTGCGAGTGGAAAATGCGGCATCCTGAGCTGCCAGGGCTCTTGAGACGGGCTCCTCATTCAATTGAAAGGAGCGGCGCTGGCAGTTCGGAAAGAGCAATATGTCGCAATGCATCAACGTGTTTGATTTTCCTGTTTGAATTCCATGTTTGCTTTTTATGTTTGTAATGGCACAGTTGAGCCAAGCAGCTCTTTTTATCAACGCTTTTCTAGCAGTTCCAGATCGAGTCTGAAGCAGTGTGGCAACGCAACTAGCAGCTCTATTTTTTGTATGACGCGTATGCTTCAGCCAAGTACACACCCATAAAAGGTACCTTTAGGCATTTTTCAGGTTGGCCGCAATCCTACATTGGTGCCCAGTGAATGCATAGCCGCTACACACATTCTTTCTTGCGTCATCAGTATTCAGAAGTCTGGGGCATGTCTGCCACACATTCAGCAGTTCTGTTATAGTTTTAGCTTGATCCACTGAATCTTGTCAGTGAAATTTCCATTTGCCGCAAAAGATCTATCAGCGTTGAGTTTCTTTAGACTGCCCTCCTCTTAACTTAGACCTATCGATGCGGACTGACCGGCGGAACACAGCGAATCTGGAAGCAGGTCAGACGGACGCAGGGACTGTTTTTTCTTGTTTTAAGGGCTCTCAGGTTCAACTCAAGAACAGCTAGAGAAAGCTAAGACTAAAAAGGAAGCAACTAAGTATGGTATCATCTGTTTCTGTGAAGGTCGGGGTCTGAAGGAAAGACATTGCGACAGAGGGTGGTCAAACAATCAATTAGACCCACGCGGATTTATTTAATTTTTTCCAGCAATAGCATGCATGCCAAAGCATGGGTCTCAGAATCAGAAGCCGGGGCATGGCATTTTTATTCGCGAGCCGTTTGTTTGAGATTAGACATCAGTCTGAGCATTCAAACATCCAATGCAGTTCTATCAACCCGATGGGCACGGCCAAGTCCTTTCTTTGTTTTTTTGCGTCAAGTATGTCTCCCAGTCGGAGTCCGTCCGTTTTTGCCAGGTTGGATACTTGACGTTTGCGAACACTCGGCAGTTCATTCAGAGGCTCCTGGCAATTTTCCGCATGGCCGGAAACTCAGTGCGACTGAGCGGGGAATCCCTGGCTCTAGCTTACTGAAGGATGAAGGCACCAATGGAGGTTGTTGCACAGAACCATGTGCATGTCTGGTTTCCAAACTGTTGGTTTCCTTTTGGTTTCCCTTAAACACCACACAAACAAGGGTACCCCCACATGATCATTGCTCTGGCCGAGGTGTCAACTTCTGTGACTTCCAACTCCTTAGCCTTGCTTCTCTCAGAGGCGACGAGTTGTTGGCGAGGTGTGAGGAAGTTCGCGCGGGGTGCCCAGGTGATGGCCATGTACTTTGCAGCCTGTGTCATCCTCACACTGAGGCTGGATTTAGATTTGATATATTTGACGATGTAATTTGCATGTTCCGCTCTGAGCACGTGTTTCTCATCGACTTCCAACTGCAGGTTTGTGCCCAAGCGCGATCGAGCAGACTTGTTGGCTATGGTGGGGGAGGCAGATCATTTTCTGCTGGGCCTGGAGCAGTTCAACATTAACACGACAGGTGGATCTGTCTTCAGTTCATCTTCATTTTGACTATGTGCGCCAAATACTTGCATAGTTGCATTGCTTTGCCTAGTATACAGGCTGTTGCCTCGGCTGGAAGGTATTTTTGCTTTCGTCGCTTTGCTCTCTCGCTGTGTTCGGGCTGAGCTACTGGCTGACACTGGGCTGCACACAAATCGATGCTTGTGCCGCGATTCAAGCAGATGTGCATCCAATAAGGAAGGGGCCGGCGGTTGACACTCCGCATGCAGATTAGCCAACATCAAAACATATATATATATATATTTACATATATATATATATACCCATGTTTGTTTATATATATAGTAATAAACATTATTTTTACTATTTGGGTGAATTGGGTTATTTGATACCGAGAGGTTAATTTATGAAACATATTATTTGGATTATTTTGGATTATTTGGGTTAGTTGGTTATTTATTTTGATTTTAATTATTTATATTATTGTTTATTATTGTTGTTATATATTTTTTAATATTTTAGAATTTTTGGTTTATTTTGTTAATTTTTATTATGTTTTTATAAATATTTATTTGATAGTTTAACGAAATTATTTTAATATTTATTCGAAAGTTAAAAAGATTTATTATAAATTTACAGAGCAAACATTATTAAGTATTATATGATATTAAATACGGAATACCGAAATTGTTTATATAAATCTATTTAACACTTATATAACCGTTTTAATAACCTATAAGATAGAGAGTATTTTATGTTTTTTATTTTTTATTTTTATATTATTGGTTTAGATAATTTATGATGGGGTTTGAACTTATTATTCTTGCTTTGCGACGAAACTTAGGATAAACTGAACTTATATATATTTGTTTTTTTATTATGAGGGAATGATAGGGGATTTTTTTTAAAACTAGGTTGGATAGAAATCGGTTAATTTTATAGAAATTAGGGAAAATTGGAATAATGTTCTGTATTTTGAATGGGTATGTTTTTTTCTATTAAATGATTTAAAAAGGATAGTATTGAGATTTACAAAATATTTTTTGATTCTGGGATAAAATCTTAAATGCCTGAATATATTTACTCTATAAAACGAAGCCGTGAAACTTGCGTTTTGTTGGATCGCTTTTCCGAAAATTTCGGGAATATTTCGGGGACCGTTTTCCCGAAATATTCCAAGTATTTCGGGAAATGTTATTGTCGAAATGTCCGGAATATTTCGGAAAAATGGTTTGGAGTGCAATTATCGAAATATCCGGGATATTTCGGAAAAATGGTCCGGGCTTTGAGCAAGGCCGTTATGTCTTCCAGATAAAGAGTCGGGGCGTATATCTGCCTATCCATAGCCATTTTGGTTGATATCTTGCGTCCGTCTTCTGAGAGTTTTGGCTTTGCTTGCGCCCAGGATGTTTTCTGGTCGATCGCATTTTCGTTTGCGCTTATAACAACTGCATATATGGATGGATCTTTTGCCAATAAGCCGCGGATCCGTTCTCACCTTGCTCAGGCGATCGCCTTTCACTGACTCTTTAGCGTGACCTTATCGCGACCAGCCCTGCCTTCAGTGCATCTCGCGACCTGTGTTTAGAGAACGACATGCTTTTCGCGTGCGAAGAGTATACATATTTTGACGCATATGATATGAAAAATATGTATGTGCCTGAGTTGCAAAGAATGTCTTGTCGGCGCGGGCTCTACAAGATTTGCTCTGTTCTTGGCGCACCCACCACGGCTAGGCTTTGGCGAGGGCGCGACTTAACCACGACAAGCGCTTAAAAATTGAACCTCTCCAAAAAACGCGTGAACCTCAGCAAAAGAAAAGGTGCGAAGCTCGACAAGAGTACGTGGCACAACACCGACACAAACGCGCACGCAAACACAGACACAAATACAGAGAAACACAGGTACAAACAGAAGCACACAGAGGCACGCAAGCGTGCAGACACCGAAAAACAGATGGACAGAAACGCGGTCATACAAAGACAAAGAGGCACAGAAACGGGTCACCACGGGAATTGCAACAAATTTGTTCTGGTTGCATGGCCTGTTACAAGAAGAAGGCACGACGGCGCACGACTCTCGACCAATGATGGGGCCACAATGTCGGGGTTAAAGAATGGTGAGACGAGGCCTGTGACGGGCCACGCAACAGGACAAGACTGTCGACGGCGCAGCCCAGTCTAGCGAGATAGGACGGGCAAAAGAACTGCGCGACGGAAATGATAAACCCACGACCGGGACCTGCGACGGGCCACACGACGGGACGTATGACACGACGGAAGTGACAGGCGAGACCTACGAATGAGAAGATACCACTTTCAATGATGGGGCTACACGACGTATCTGGGGGCCGTCGATAGGGCGATGGGATGTGCGACGCCGCACGACAGGATGTCTGACAGGCGCAACGCGACACGGGGCCAAGACAAGACATCGCGGGCCAAATAACAGGACATGGCCACGAAGCACGGCCAATAACAGCCTCATGCAACAAATCCACGACGGGACGAGGCCGGACGAGGAGGTACGATGGGACGCACGACAGGCCACAACGGGGCCAATTCAAGATAGGATTTAAGGGGCCACTCAACCAACGACGGGCTAATGACGGGGTGAGGACGGGATCTACGACGGGCTACACGAGGGGGGGGGGGGCGACAATATAGTTTATGATAGGATGTGACATGTTGGGGCTTACACGACGGGATATATAGATATATGGCCTATTGGGCCATAAATACCCGTGCATTACACGATGGCATGCATGACAAAGTCGTTGCGAGACTTGTGACGGGGTACACAAGACGAGTCTATAACAGATCGAGTGACTGGACTGCGATAGGCCACGCATTAATGCGGGGATAGCCGTCACCAACATAGGCCAAAGAATTGGAGGAAGGACGTGCGACGGACCATGTGGAACGGGGGACCACGATGGGCCAATGACGGGGCCATGATAGGATTTGCGACGGGCTATACGACGGGACAGGGGCGATAATACAGTTTATGGTAAACAGGATGTGACATGTTAGGATTTATACGACGGGGTGGGTTATAGCGGATTATACGACGGCACCGCGACGAAGCCATTGCAAGACTTGTGATGGATTACACAAGACGAGTCTACGATAGATCGAGTGATAGGATTGCACTAGGCTACGCATTTATGAGGGAGAATCGTCACCAACATGGGCCAAATACTCGATTACGACGGGCTAATGAGGGGATTACGATCGGGACGGGGGGGGGGGGGAGAATATAGTTCATGATAGGATGTAGAATGTTGTTACACGACGGGATGGGTTGTATAAACACCCGTGGGTTATACGATGGCACCCGCGACGAAGCTATTGCGAGACTTGTGATGGGCCGCGCAAAACGAATCTACGACGAATCGAATGATTGGATTACGATAGATTATGCGTCCATGAGAGAATAGTTGCCACCCAACATGGCCAAAGAATTGGAGGAGGGACATATTACGGATAATGTATGGGGGACTAAAACGGGCTAGTGACGGGACCGCGACGGAACTTGCGACGGGCTACATGACTGGATATGACATGTTGGATCTTGTGCGACGGGATGGATCGTATAAATTCCCGTGGGTTGCACGATCGGCAATTGCGACGAAGCCATTGCGAAACTTATGATGGATTATATAAGACAAGTCTACAACGAATTGAGTGATTGGATTGCACGGCCATGTGGGGGACTACGACGGGCTAATGACGGGGCCACGACGAGATTTGCGATGGGTTATACGACGGGACGGGAGCGATAATACAATTTATGATTAATATGATATGTTAGGACTTATACGACGGGAAGGGTTATATAAATATTCGTGGGTTATACGATGGCACCACGACTAAGCCATTACGAGACTTGTGACGGACTACATAAAATGATTCTACGACGGATCGAATAATAGGACTGCGATAGGCTACGCAATTTATGCGGGGACAGCCGTCTCCAACATGGGCCAAATACTTGGAGGAGGGACGTGCTACGGGCGATGTATGGGGGATTACGATGGGCTAATGAGGGGGATACGACCGGGACGGGGGGGGGGGGGAGAATATAGTTCATGATAGGATGTAATACATTGGGGCTTATACGACGGGATGGGTTATATAAATATTCGTGGATTACACGATGGTACCCGCGACGAAGCCATTGCGAGACTTGTGACGGGCTATCTAAAACGAATCTAGAATGATTTGACTACGATGGGTTATGTGTGCATAAAAGGATAGCCGCCACCAATATGGTCAAAGAATTGGAGGAGGGACGTGCCACGGGCAATGTGTGGGGGATGAAGACGGGCTACTGACGCGGCCACGACGGAACTTGCGACGGGTTATATGATAGGATGTGACATATTGGGGCTTGCGCGACGGGATAGACTATATAAATTCCCGTGGGTTATATGATCGGCGTGCATTACGAGACTTGTGACGAATTACGCAAGATGAATCCACGACGGATCGAATGATTGGATTACGAGACGTGCCACGGGCGATGTGTGGAGGATTACGACGGACCGGGACGGGGGGGGGGGGAAGAATATAATTCATGATAGGATGAGATATATTGGGGCTTATATAATGGGATGGATTATATAAACACCTATGGGTTACACGATGGTATCCGTAACCATTGCGGGACCTATGACGGACTATACAAGATGAGTCCATGATGAATCGAATGATTGGATTAATAAATTATGTTTATGAAAGGATGGCCGCCACCATAGGGCGGGCAATATGTGGGGGATTAAGATAGATTAATGATGGGGTTACGACGGAATTGGCTACGGGTTACATGATAGGATATAACATGATGGGGCTTGCGCGATGGGATTCTCGTGGATTACACGGTCGGCGCACGCGACGAAGCTATTGCGAAACTTGTGACGGACCATATAAGGCGAGTCCTTAACGAATCGAATGATTGGATTACGATAGGTTATATATCCATGAGGGGATAGCCGTCATTAATGCGGATTAAAGAATTGGAAGAGGGATGTGTTACGGGTTATATGGGGGACCACGACGGCTTAATGACGGGATCACGACGAGATTTGCTACGGGCTATACGATTATGACAGGATGTGATATGTTGGGGCTTATACGACGGGGTGGGTTATATAATTTTCTATGGGTTACACGATGGCACCCACGAATAAGCCATTGCGAGACCTATGACGGCATACACAAGACAAATTTACGATTGATAGGATTGCGATAGACCATATATTCGTGAAGGGAT